CTCTGTGCTCGCCGTAGCTGGTGACCTATGGCGCCACACGCGCTGAAGCCCTACAGAGGATGGAGGACGCTCTGGATAACTACGTCATCAGAGGTAAGTCTCACACACACACACACACACACACACTGTTGCGTGTTAGTGCTTTCTGGAAGGTTCTTCAGTACCGCAAGGCTGCTATGTTCTGTAGAGCTACACACATGTAGAGGGTGCTGGATCTCTGCCTGTCTCGTGACTGTTGTTCCTGTGTGACTGTCCAGGTGTGACCCACAACATCCCCCTACTCAGAGAGATCATCACCCACCCTCGCTTCATCTCCGGTGACATCACCACTAACTTCCTGCCAGAGGAATACCCAGAGGGGTTCAAAGGTCACCAGCTGACCTCCGAGGGTCGTAGGGAGCTCCTCGCCACCGCAGCCGCTCTCTACGTCTCCGCACAGCTCCGCTCCCAGAGGTTCCTGGGTAATCTCAGGTAAATTAAACCAATTTAAATAACTGAGAGGGAACTTCTTGTATGAACTGGTAGTGGAATAACGCTTAGATAAAGCACCATCTTGGTCAGGTTGTTATTGTGAAAGAGAATGTGTTCTCAATGACTTACCTGGTTAAATAAAGGTTAATTCAAACAGAGAGGAGGTAAAAAACACCAAGAGGTTCTAGTTGACTTCAGAAAGAGCTAGAGCTCTCATTGTTCCTCATGTGTTAGTATACTCCTTTATTGTGCTGTTGGACTGTATCTGAATGTCCACTGTCTGTTTTACAGGGTTTATTATTGTGTTGTGTGTTTAAAGCAGTGTTTTACACTGGCTCAGTTCTGCAATATGTCAGCAGTTAACAGAGCTGTATACTAGCATAGAGTAGCAGTCTGTTGGTCAAACTGTTAGACCTCTCTCTCAGCGCTGCCATCTGTCTAAACATCTGCTCACATTTTCTTCTCTTTCCTTTTCGGATCATTTCCTTTCGTTATTCATGAACCGCCGGGGGTCGGTCTTTGTAGTGGCAGTCAGTGGCAGAGGCCCCCCTCACCCCTCCTCCCTCACTCCTACCTTCCCCCTCTCTCCTCTCACCCCTCCTCCCCCCTCTCTCCTCCCTCCCCTCTCCCCCCTCCTCCCCCCTCTCTCCTCCCTCTCCTCTCACCCCTCCTCCCCCCTCTCTCCTCCCGATCCCTCTCCCCCCTCCTCCCCCCTCTCTCCTCCCTCCCCTCTCACCCCTCCTCTCCCACCCCACCTATCTCCTCCCTCACCCCTCCTCCCTCACCCCTCCTCTCCCCTCTCTCCCCCCTCCTCTCTCTCCTCCCTCACCCCTCCCCTCTCCTCCCTAACCCCTCCCTCCTCCTCCCTCCTCTCTCTCAGAGCAGGGATAAACCAGACAGATCCTTCTACAGTGGAGTATTCCAGGGAGCAGGATCATTAAAGCATCAACACTATTGTTTAACCATCTCATTTTTTATAAACATATCTCTTGAATTTCTGGTTCAAATCTAAACTTGTATGTGTTGGAACTGTTGATTATGTTAGTTTATACCATGCTCATTTCAAGTCTATCTTTCTTTATAAACGTTATATCCGAATATTTAGGAATGTTGGCTAAAAGGTTAGCTGGCTATGATCTCCTTGGTTCAGCGTTGTAACAGACCAGCAGACTGGTCTCTGGTGTAGGGAGAGAGAGGAGGCAGCTGTCAGTCAGTGGAGGAGCTGACTCTAACTGTTTATTCAGCTCCCTCTGACCCCCAGGGAATAGCTCTCTGAGACTGATCCTAATGGGAAAGTGGTGTGTTTCAGGGTGTCCACCGCCCCCCAGGAACGGAGGCAGTGGGAGCTCTGTGTGGAGCTGGAGAAGGGAATGCACACGGTCGCTGTGTCACGCTCTGGATCCACGTTCACTGTGAGTGACGCGCACGCACGCGCACACACACACACACACACACACACACACACACACACACACACACACACACACACACACACACCCACACGCACGCACGCACGCACGCACGCACGCACGCACAGTGGGGTCTGAAATTGACACCCTTGATAAAGATGAGCAAAAATAACTGTAAAGTAAATAATTCAAATACTGAGATCTATTTTATGGAGAAAATAAAAATGTGGAAATGATATTATTTTATACTAATACAATTGCTCAGAGAAAGACATTTTGTTTAAAAAGTATTTTTCTCTCAAAAGGTAGGGGTCAAAATTATTGACACCACCATTTTTAATACCTTTAAATACAAAATGACTTAAATGTAATATCCTTCATCTGCGCTTATTGACTGACCTCTTCAATTCAAACCACAGGTTTTCAATGGGTTTCAAGTCCGGAGACTGAGATGGCCATTGCAAAATGTTGATTTTGTGGCCAATTAACAATTTCTTTGTGGAAATTGATGTGTCCTTGGGGTTATTGTCTTGCTGGAAGATCCACTTGTGGCCAAGTTTCAGCCTCCTGGCAGAGGCAACCAGGTTTCTGGCTAAAATGTCCTGGTAGTGGGTAAAGTTCATGATGCCGTTGACCTTAACAAGGGCCCCAGGACCAGTGGAAGCAAAATAGCCCCATAACATGAAAGATCCACCACCATATTTTACAGTAGGTATGGGGTTATTTTCTGCTCATGCGTTCTCATTGACACCAAACCCACCGCTGGTTTGCGTGGACAAAGAGCTCTATTTTCCTGTCCAACAAATGTAGAGTTTGCTAAACGGCGTTGGCACTTGGATTGGAACCGGTGATGACATGAAAATAAAGTTATTTGGCCATGCACACCAGTGGTGGGTTTGGCGTCGAAATGAGAATGCATGAGCAGAAAATAACCTCAGTTTCCGGACTTGAAACCCATTGAAAATCTGTGGTTTGAATTGAAGAGGTCAGTCCATAAGCGCAGACGAAGGATATCAAGGATCTGGAAGGATTCTGTATGGAGGAATGGTCTAAAATCCCTCCCAATGTGTTCTCCAACTTATAAAATGTTTTAGAAAAAGGCTCAGTATCCTTATCCTCACAAGGTGAAGTATTTAAAACAGTGGTGTCATTAATCTTGACTCCTACCTTAAAAAAAATATATTTTTTAAATAACTTGTTAATAAAAAAACAATTGTATTAGTATAAAATAATATACTTCTCCTATTTCTTTGCGTATACAATATAGCTCACTATTTGAGTTAGTTATTTTATACAGTCATTTTTGCTCATCTTTATCAATGGTGTCAATCATTTCGCACCCCACTGTACATCCCTGTGGTTTGTGGTGAAGTGAATAAAAGCAGTAGGCCCTTCTCTCTGTGAGGGGGCTTGAATGTAGCTTAGGTCCAGGTGGTGGGGAGGGGGGAGGAGGGGTTGTCGCCGCCGACAGACATCACTCGGTGCCCGGGTGTTTAGACACCTGCAGTCCCTGGTCATGTGGGTGGGTGGTTGGTCTGGATATTGGTGCTGGGTGGTTTTCCCTGAACCATGATAACATATGCTCCTAATCAGCCTCTCCTGGTCACCTAGAACCACTGAACCACACATCATACTAGGGGCCAGTACCCCCCAGGAAAGGCTGGTGCTGGATACTGGGTCTTTCCCTGGTCCTCTAGTAGTAGATACTGGGTCTTTCCCTGGTCCTCTAGTAGTGGATACTGGGTCTTTCCCTGGTCCTCTAGTAGTGGATACTGGGTCTTTCCCTGGTCCTCTCCTCTAGTAGTGGATACTGGGTCTTTCCCTGGTCCTCTCTAGTAGTGGATACTGGGTCTTTCCCTGGTCCTCTAGTAGTGGATACTGGGTCTTTCCCTGGTCCTCTAGTAGTTGATACTGGGTCTTTCCCTGGTCCTCTAGTAGTGGATACTGGGTCTTTCGCTGATCCTCTAGTAGTGGATACTGGGTATTTCCCTGATCCTCTAGTAGTGGATACTGGGTCTTTCCCTGGTCCTCTCCTCTAGTAGTGGATACTGGGTCTTTCCCTGGTCCTCTCCTCTAGTAGTGGATACTGGGTCTTTCCCTGGTCCTCTCTAGTAGTGGATACTGGGTCTTTCCCTGGTCCTCTAGTAGTGGATACTGGGTCTTTCCCTGGTCCTCTCTAGTAGTGGATACTGGGTCTTTCCCTGGTCCTCTCTAGTAGTGGATACTGGGTCTTTCCCTGGTCCTCTAGTAGTGGATACTGGGTCTTTCCCTGGTCCTCTAGTAGTGGATACTGGGTCTTTCCCTGGTCCTCTAGTAGTGGATACTGGGTCTTTCCCTGGTCCTCTCTAGTAGTGGATACTGGGTCTTTCCCTGGTCCTCTAGTAGTTGATACTGGGTCTTTCCCTGATCCTCTAGTAGTGGATACTGGGTATTTCCCGGTTCTCCCTCTAGTAGTGGATACTGGGTTCTTTCCCTGGTCCTCTCCCTAGTAGTGGATACTGGGGCTTTCCCTTGGTCCTCCTCCTCTAGTAGTGGATACGATGGGTCTTTCCCTGTCCTCGTCCGCTAGTAGTGATACTGGGAATCTTCCCTGGGTCCTCTCTATGATACTGGGTCTTTCCCTGGTCCTCTCCTCTAGTAGTGGATACTGGGTCTTTCTCTGGTCCTCTCTAGTTGTGGATACTGGGTCTTTCCCTGGTCCTCTCTAGTAGTGGATACATATCAAACTGCAGTCTCTCCAAGCATATCAAACTGCAGTCTCTCCACTTAGGAAGCAAATGTCTTGTATCAGAATAATCAGTAGAGTGTAGTAATTACAATACTTTTCCTCTGACCCCCTGGCAGGTGGAGGTGGATGGAGTTAAGGTGGAGGTTAGTGGAGAGTGGAACCTGGCCTCAGCCCTGCTGCCTGTCACCATCAACAGAATCCCCAGGGTTCTACAGTGTCTGTCTAGAGACGCAGGAGGAGAGATCACTCTACAGTACCTGGGGACACAGGTGAGTCACCTCTCTTTCATTCTGGTGAATGTATGACTTGTGTGTGTACAAGTGGTCGTGTGTGTGTTTCGTGTGTGTGTACACACATTAGTAACGTTCCTCTTATCTGTCGGGCCAAGTCGGTGTCATTTCCCAGCCTACACATCCCCATCCAGCCTATCCCCAGATCCCCCCAGACCCCCCAGACTACAGAGAATGTCAGGAAGAGAAGATCATCCGTTACGTTACAGAGGCTTTGAAAGGAGCCAGCTATAAATGGCTCTGTGCTGCTCACACCCTGGGGGGGGGGGGGGGCTTTGAACACAGGCTGCACAGGAACTTGTCACAGGGGGCGACATCACTTCCCTTTCCTCCTTTAGGGACCTGGGGCTGAGCAAGGGGGGGTTCTGATAGGTCCTGGGGGGGTTGGGAGGAGGTTGGGGAGTGGCTCAGTAAGTACCTGTGTCCTGTCCCCTGCTGCATCAGGTGTTGGAGAGTAGGAGGCACCCCTGCAAAGCTGAGCTGCTTCCAGGCTTCCTCTCCTGGGACATGGAAGACCTCTGTATCCCCCTGTATCCCTTAGCTCTCACTCATCCTGGGTATGTTCTTGTCTAGCTGGGGACATGGAGTCACTCAGTAGTACAGGGTTCAGTAACATCAATAACCAGCTAGAAAAGAAAGGCAGCAGTAGTTCTACTGATGCGCTCCAGGCCTGGACGTTGAACAGACTTTTGGTAGAGCTGGTCACAGAACAACACCTAGTTAACCTGGTTGGTTGACCCATGTTGACCTGTATCTGAACTGGGGTGACACAGTCAGTTAGTTACTGTTGTTTCCTGGGAAGGAATCCTGTCAAAGCCTGCGTTTCCCCAGGCCGTCCCAACGCTCCCATTCCCCACACTCCTGACTCTCCGGGTTACAGCCCTGATTTACGAGTCCAGCTGGGTTTTCCCTCCCCGCTCCTGGTTTTCCAACAAGGGAGTGTCGGCCTTGGGAAACCATGACTGTTTGTTTGGGGTATCCTTTGGGGGTATCCCGGCCAGTGGTTATTTTAGTCACTATGATGGTGTTGTAAAGAAGATGACCTGTTGTGTGTGTGTGTGTGTGTGGTTTGGAAAGAGTGCTAAATACAGTCTTATGAGTTCATGGCAGGGGAGGGCACCAGGGGTGAGGAAGGTTAACAAACAAACAAGGATGCATGAGGTCATTAACATGGTGGGGGGCTTCCTGATGTTGTTGTACTGTGACCTTCATATACAGGTCAGTGACTGGGACCAGCTACTAGTAGTGTTACTGGGACCTACCAAGTCAACCAGGACAATGCTCCCTCTAGCCTAGACCAGTGTTAAGCCAGGACAATGCTCCCCCTAGCCTAGACCAGTGTTAAGCCAGGACAATGCTCCCTCTAGCCTAGACCAGTGTTAAGCCAGGACAATGCTCCCCCTAGCCTAGACCAGTGTTAAGCCAGGACAATGCTCCCTCTATCCTAGACCAGTGTTAAGCCAGGACAATGCCCCTCTAGCCAGACCAGTGTTAGCCCAATGCTCCCCTCTATCCTGACCAGTGTTAAGCCAGGACAATGCTCCCTCTATCCTAGACCAGTGTTAAGCCAGGACAATGCTCCCTCTATCCTAGACCAGTGTTAAGCCAGGACAATGCTCCCTCTATCCTAGACCAGTGTTAAGCCAGGACAATGCTCCCTCTATCCTAGACCAGTGTTCAGCCAGGACAATGCTCCCTCTAGCCTAGACCAGTGTTCAGCCAGGACAATGCTCCCTCTAGCCTAGACCAGTGTTCAGCCAGGACAATGCTCCCTCTAGCCTAGACCAGTGTTCAGCCAGGACCAACAGTAATCAGCCCCACCAGTGTGTTTCTATTCACAATTTTACACTGAACAGAAATATAAACGCAACATGCAACAATTTCAAAGATTTTACTGAGTTACAATTCATATAAGGAAATCAGTCAATTGGAATAAATTCAGTAGGCCCTAATCTATGGATTTCACATGACTGGGAATACAGATATGCATCTGTTGGTCACAGATACCTTAAAAAAAACTTAGTGGCAAGGGATCAGAAAACCAGTCAGTATCTGGTGTGACCACCATTTGCCTCATGCAGCGCAACACATCTCCTTCGCATAGAGTTGATCAGGCTGTTGATTGTGGCCTGTGGAATGTTGTCCCACTCCTCTTCAATGGCTGTGCGAAATTGCTGGATATTGGCGGGACCTGGAACACACTGTCGTACACGTCGATCCAGAGCATCCCAAACATGCTCAATGGGTGACATGTCTGGTGAGTATGAAGGCCATGGAAGAACTGGGACATTTTCAGATTCCAGGAATTGTGTACAGATCCTTGCAATATGGGGCCGTGCATTATCATGCTGAAACATGAGGTTATGGCGACGGATGAATGGCACGACAGTGGGCCTCAGGATCTCATCACGGTATCTCTGTACATTCAAATTGCCATCGATAAAATGCAATTGTTTTCGTTGTCTGTAGCCTATGACTGTCTATACCATAACCCCACCGCCACCATGGGGCACTCTATTTACAACCTCTCGCCCACACGACGCCATACACGCTGTCTGCCATCTTCCCGGTACAGTTGAAGCCAGGATTCATCCAGTGTGCCAGTGGCCATCGAAGGTGAGCATTTGCCCACTGAAGTCGGTTACGACGCCGAAGTGCAGTCATGTCAAGACCCTGGTGAGGACGACGAGCACGCAGATGAGTTTCCTTGTGCAGAAATTCTTTGGTTGTTCAAGCCCACAGTTTCATCAGCTGTCTAGGTGGCTGGTCTCAGACGATCCCTCAGGTAAAGAAGCCGGATGTGGAGGTCCTGGGCTGGCGTGGTTACACATGGTCTGTGTTTGTGAGGCTGGTTGGACATACTGCTGTGTCCCGTGTGGCTCATTTGGTAGAGCATGACTCTTGCAACGCCCTGGTTGTGGGTTCAATTCCCACTGGGAATCATTACGGAGAAAACAAACGTATGGAAATGTATGCACTCACTGGAAGTCGCTCTGGATAAGAGCGTCTGCTAAATTACAAAACATTTACAAATGTAGAATGTACTGCCAAATTCTCTAAAACAACGTTGGAGGCGGCTTATGCTAGAGAAATGAACACTCACTTCTCTGGCAACAGTTCTGGGATCTTTTATTTCAGCTTATGGGAACCAACACTTTACATGTTGCATTTTATATTTGTGTTCAGTATAAAAGGACTGAGTTAGGAAGGTGTCTTGTTATCAAGCTGTTATCAAAACTTCAGTATCCAGCTGCTCATTGAATTGCACCGCACAACAGATATCTACCAGCAAATACGTATTCTACCTCTTCCTCCCTCCTCCCTCCCTCCGGTCTCACCTCGTTGCCCATCGCCAAGCAACCGTTGGGTGTTCTCTTTATTATGCCTGCTGCTTCCTGAAGTTTCAACTCTTAACGAGGGAGAAACCAGCCACTCAGTGCTAGCTGTGTGTAAGACATCAATTAGCCTAATGAGCTAATTAAAGGATTGGCATGAAAGAGCCTGATGAATGAACCCGCTGACTGTAATGCAGTAGTAGCAGTAGGAATGATTCACTAAGCCAGGGACAGGGATATAGACCGAAACGAATGATGCTGAGTGCTGCCACCCAGTGGACCCAAAGAGAATGGCATCAACTCAGAATAGGAGTTTCAGAATAAAGAATGTGGAGTAGAGGATTGTTGATATTACTGTCTTTTTCTTTCGTCATTTTTACAACATGGTCCTACTTGTGACATTATATATGTAATGAATTGACCCCAACCTCTGTCTCTGTGTGTTCAGTTTAAGGTGCGTGTTCTCAGTAAGCTGGTGTCCACGCTGAGCAGTCACATGCCTGAGAAGGTTCCAGAAGACACCAGCAGCATCCTGCGTTCTCCCATGCCTGGCTCCGTGGTCTCCGTGTCCGTCAAACCTGGAGACGTGGTAAGAACGTACATGTTACATAGAATCCGCATAGATCCGAGACACGTTACATATAGCATCCCCCGTCCCCGCAGGAGGCCTTTTGCCTTTTGGTAGGCCGTCATTGTAAATAAGAATTTGTTCTTAACTGACTTGCCTAGTTAAAAATAAAAATAAATCCTGAACAGAGCATTAGCATCATGCCAGGAACTGTGGTGGATGTGTCTGTCAAACCTGGAGATAATGCGGTAAGGACATGTGAAATGTTACATACATGTTGTTGCTGGACATTAGTTTTACATTTACATTTTAGTCATTTAGCAGACGCTCTTATCCAGAGCGACTTACAGTTAGTGAGTGCATACATTTTCATAGTTGTTACATGCATGTTGTTGCTGGACATTAGTTGTTACTTACACTACCAGTCAAAAGTTTGGACACACCTACTCATTCAAGGGTTTTTCTTTATTTTTATTATTTTTTACAATACTATGAAATAACACATATGGAATCATGTAGTAACCCAAAAAGTGCAGTCGCAAAAACCATCAAGCGCTATGATGAAACTGGCTCTCATGAGGACAGCCACAGGAATGGAAGACCCAGAGTTACCTCTGCTGCAGAGGATAAGTTAATTAGAGTTACCAGCCTCAGAAATTGCAGCCCAAATAAATGCTTCACCGAGTTCAAGTAACAGACACATCTCAACATCAACTGTTCAGAGTGGACTGTGTGAATCAGGCCTTACATGGTCGAATTGCTTCAAAGACACCACTACTAAAGGACACCAATAAGAAGAAGAGACCTGCTTGAGCCAAGAAACACGAGCAATGGACATTAGACCGGTGGAAATGTGTCGTTTTGGTCTGGAGTCCAAATTGGAGATTTCTGGTTCCAACCGCCTTGTCTTTGTGAGACGCAGTGTGGGTGAAGGGATGATCTCCGCATGTGTAGTTCCCACCGTAAAGCATGGAGGAGGAGGTGTTATGGTGTGGGGGTGCTTTACTGCTGACACTGTCTGTGATTTATTTAGAATTCAAGGCACACTTAACCAGCATGGCTACCACAGCATTCTGCAGCGATACGCCATCCCATCTGGTTTGGGCTTAGTGGGACTATCATTTGTTTTTCAACAGTACAATGACCCAACACACCTCCAGGCTGTGTAAGGGCTATTTTACCAAGAAGGGGAGTGATGGACTGCTGCATCAGATGACCTGGCCTCCACAATCCCCCGAACTCAACCCAATTGAGATGGTTTGGGATGAGTCGGATTGCAGAGTTGTTACATGTTATATACATGTTGTTGCTGGACATTAGTTGTTACATACATGTTGTTGCTGTACATTAGTTGTTACATACCTGTGTTTGCTGGACATTTAAGTTTATTACATACATGTTGTTGCTGGACATTTAGTTGTTACATACATGTTGTGCTGACATTAGTTGTTTTTTACATCCATGTTTTTGCTGACATTAGTTGTTACATAACATGTTGTTGCTGGACTTAGTTGTTACATACATGTTGTTGCGGACATAGTTGTCATACATGTGTGTTGCTGGGACATTAGTTTTTACATACATGTTTGTTGCCGGACATTAGTTTTTTGTTACATACATGTTGTTGCTGGACATTAGTTGTTACATACATGTTGTTGCTGGACATGAGTTGTTACATACATGTTACATACATGTTGTTGCTGGACATTTCGTTGTTACATACATGTTGTTGCTGGACATTAGTTGTTACATACATGTTGTTGCTGGACATTAGTTGTTACATACATGTTGTTGCTGGACATTAGTTGTTACATACATGTTGTTACATACATGTTGTTGCTGGACATTTAGTTGTTACATACATGTTGTTGCTGGACATTAGTTGTTACATACATGTTGTTGCTGGACATTAGTTGTTACATACATGTTGTTGCTGGACATTAGTTGTTACATTACATGTTGTTGTACATACAAATGTTGTTGCTGGACATTAGTTGTTACATACATGTTGTTGCTGGACATTAGTTGTTACATACATGTTGTTGCTGGACATTAGTTGTTACATACATACATGTTGTTGCTGGACATTTAGTTATTACATACATGTTGTTGCTGGACATTAGTTAGTTACATACATGTTGTTGCTGGACATTAGTTATTACATACATGTTGTTGCTGGACATTAGTTGTTACATACATGTTGTTGCTGGACATTAGTTGTTACATACATATGTTGTTGCTGGACATTAGTTGTTACATACATGTTGTTGCTGGACATTAGTTTTACATACATGTTGTTGCTGGACATTATTGTTTACTACATACATGTTGTTGCTGGACATTAGTTTTACATACATGTTGTTGCTGGACATTAGTTTTACATACATGTTGTTGCTGGACATTAGTTGTTACATACATGTTGTTGCTGGACATTAGTTGTTACATACATGTTGTTGTACATATGTTGTTGCTGGACATTAGTTTTACATACATGTTGTTGCTGGACATTAGTTGTTACATACATGTTGTTGCTGGACATTAGTTGTTACATACATGTTGTTGCTGGACATTAGTTGTTACACATACATGTTGTTGCTGGACATTTAGTTATTACATACATGTTGTTGGCTGTGACATTAGTTGTTACATACATGTTGTTGCTGGACATTTAGTTTTACATACATGTTGTTGCTGGACATTAGTTGTTACATACATGTTGTTCTACAAGTGTTATGTTTGCTGGACATTAGTTGTTACAATACATGTTGTTGCTGGACATTTAGTTGTTACATACATGTTGTTGCTGGACATTAGTTATTACATACATGTTGTTGCTGGACATTAGTTATTACATACATGTTGTTGCTGGACATTAGTTGTTACATACATGTTGTTGCTGGACATTAGTTGTTACATACATGTTGTTGCTGGACATTAGTTGTTACATACATGTTGTTGCTGGACATTAGTTGTTACATACATGTTGTTGCTGGACATTAGTTGTTACATACATGTTGTTGCTGGACATTAGTTGTTACATACATGTTGTTGCTGGACATGAGTTGTTACATACATGTTACATACATGTTGTTGCTGGACATTTCGTTGTTACATACATGTTGTTGCTGGACATTAGTTGTTACATACATGTTGTTGCTGGACATTAGTTGTTACATACATGTTGTTGCTGGGACATAGTTGTTACAATACATGTGTTACATACATGTTGTTGCTGGACATTTAGTTGTTACATACATGTTGTTGCTGGACATTAGTTGTTACATACATGTTGTTGCTGGACATTAGTTGTTACATACATGTTGTTGCTGGACATTAGTTGTTACATACATGTTGTTACATACATGTTGTTGCTGGACATTTAGTTGTTACATACATGTTGTTGCTGGACATTAGTTGTTACATACATGTTGTTGCTGGACATTAGTTGTTACATACATGTTGTTGCTGGACATTAGTTGTTACATACATGTTGTTGCTGGACATTAGTAGTTACATATATGTTGTTGCTGGACATTAGTTATTACATACATGTTGTTGCTGGACATTAGTTGTTACATACATGTTGTTGCTGGACATTAGTTGTTACATACATGTTGTTGCTGGACATTTTAGTTATTACATACATGTGTTGCTGGACATTAGTTATTACATACTGTTGTTGCTGGACATTAGTTGTTACATACATACATGTGTTGCTGGACCATTAGTTATTCATACATGTTGTTGCTGGACATTAGTTGTTACATACATGTTGTGCTGGACATTTAGTTATTACATACATGTTGTTGCTGGACATTAGTTGTTACAATACATGTTGTTACATACATGTTGTTGCTGGACATTTAGTTGTTACATACATGGTTGTTGCTGGACATTAGTTGTTACACATACATGTTGTTGCTGGACATTAGTTGTTACATACATGTTGTTTGCTGGACATTAGTTGTTACATACATACAGTTGTTGCTGGACATTAGTTATACATACATGTTGTTGCTGGACATTAGTTGTTACATAACATGTTGTTGCTGGACATTTAGTTATTACATACATGTTGTTGCTGGACATTAGTTGTTACATACATGTTGTTACATACATGTTGTTGCTGGACATTAGTTGTTACATACATGTTGTTGCTGGACATTAGTTGTTACATACATGTTGTTGCTGGACATTAGTTATTACATACATGTTGTTGCTGGACATTAGTTATTACATACATGTTGTTGCTGGACATTAGTTGTTACATACATGTTGTTGCTGGACATTAGTTGTTACATACATGTTGTTGCTGGACATTAGTTGTTACATACATGTTGCTGGACATTTAGTTATTACATACATGTTGTTGCTGGACATTAGTTGTTACATACATGTTGTTACATACATGTTGTTGCTGGACATTTAGTTGTTACATACATGTTGTTGCTGGACATTTAGTTGTTACATACATGTTGTTGCTGGACATTAGTTATTACATACATGTTGTTGCTGGACATTAGTTGTTACATACATGTTGTTGCTGGACATTAGTTGTTACATACATGTTGTTGCTGGACATTAGTTATTACATACATGTTGTTGCTGGACATTAGTTGTTACATACATGTTGTTGCTGGACATTAGTTGTTACATACATGTTGTTCCTGGACATTTAGTTATTACATACATGTTGTTGCTGGACATTTAGTTATTACATACATGTTGTTGCTGGACATTAGTTATTACATACATGTTGTTGCTGGACATTAGTTGTTACATGTTGTTGCTGGACATTAGTTGTTACATACATGTTGTTGCTGGACATTAGTTGTTACATACATACATGTTGTTGCTGGACATTAGTTATTACATACATGTTGTTGCTGGACATTAGTTGTTACATACATGTTGTTGCTGGACATTTAGTTATTACATACATGTTGTTGCTGGACATTAGTTGTTACATACATGTTGTTACATACATGTTGTTGCTGGACATTAGTTGTTACATACATGTTGTTGCTGGACATTTAGTTGTTACATACATGTTTGTTGCTGGACATTAGTTATTACATACATGTTGTTGCTGGACATTAGTTGTTACATACATGTTGTTGCTGGACATTAGTTGTTACATACATGTTGTTGCTGGACATTAGTTGTTACATACATGTTGCTGGACATTTAGTTATTACATACATGTTGTTGCTGGACATTAGTTGTTACATACATGTTGTTACATACATGTTGTTGCTGGACATTTAGTTGTTACATACATGTTGTTGCTGGACATTTAGTTGTTACATACATGTTGTTGCTGGACATTAGTTATTACATACATGTTGTTGCTGGACATTAGTTGTTACATACATGTTGTTGCTGGACATTAGTTGTTACATACATGTTGTTGCTGGACATTAGTTGTTACATACATGTTGTTGCTGGACATTTAGTTATTACATACATGTTGTTGCTGGACATTTAGTTATTACATACATGTTGTTGCTGGACATTAGTTGTTACATACATGTTGTTGCTGGACATTAGTTGTTACATACATGTTGTTGCTGGACATTTAGTTATTACATACATGTTGTTGCTGGACATTTAGTTATTACATACATGTTGTTGCTGGACATTTAGTTATTACATACATGTTGTTGCTGGACATTAGTTATTACATACATGTTGTTGCTGGACATTAGTTGTTACATACATGTTGTTGCTGGACATTAGTTATTACATACATGTTGTTGCTGGACATTAGTTGTTACATACATGTTGTTGCTGGACATTTAGTTATTACATACATGTTGTTGCTGGACATTAGTTTAGCCTCCTCATCCATCAATGATTTAACCTTGTAAATCAGCACTCAGTGATGGAAAGGGAATGCTGGTTTATCAATATTGCATGTGGCGTCTGGCGCCAGCTAATGCATACGTCTGTCTGTCTCTCTGGAGTGAGTCATGCCTACGTCTGTCTGTCTGTCTGTCTGTCTGTCTGTCTGTCTGTCTCTGTCTCTGTCTCTGTCTCTGTCTCTGTCTCTGTCTCTGTCTGTGTGTCTGTCTGGAGTGAGTCATGCCCACTATAGATGCTACATCATTGTATGCAGTAATGATATATTGTTGTGTTGTTCCCCAGGTGGCTGAAGGTCAGGAGATTTGTGTGATCGAGGCCATGAAGATGCAGAACAGCTTGATTGCTGCTAAAGCTGCCAAGGTAAGACCAATGAACACACACCCATTACACTAACCTACACGACAACACAATGCACACACACACACACACACACCCATTACACTAACCTTCACGACAACACAATGCACACACACACACACACACACACACCCATTACACTAACCTTCACGACAACACAATGCACACACACACACACCCACCCATTACACTAACCTACACGACAACACAATGCACGCACGCACAGACACACACACACGTATTACCACACACACACTACATTACACATAGTTTGTACAGTGTGAGGTGATTGACATCAGACCTTTCTGTGTGTTGTTTCCCTCCCAGGTGAAGAGTGTCCACTGTAAAGCAGGAGAGACTGTTGGAGAGGGAGACCTTCTGGTCCAACTGGAGTAGGATCTGACCTACGACCTCTAACCTCTGGCCTCCCACCGCTGACCTCGCTCGCCAGGGATTGGCTCGGAAGTCCGGCTGAAGGAATTCTGGGACAAAGGAATGGACAGGACACTAGTAGACTAGATGGACGGTTCCCCAGTCTGTCCTTGTTGTTTTGTTACGGTGTTTTCATCTTCCTGTGGTGCTAGTAGGCTCCACACTCCAGTATTGGCTTCTGGGATTCGCTCGTTGACAAATTTGAGATTCAGGGGATTTTCCACACAAAAACACAAAAATACAAGATGGACGCTGTGGACCTTCTTTTGTGCCTTTAGCCTCTGAAAGGAGGATTGACCTGTTAAAGATGATGAATACTGTAGATGTCACTTAGCTTACATGGCACTAATCATGTGTAATGTAGCTCCTCGCTAGCCTGGTCCCAGATCTGTTTGTGCCATCTTGCCAGGAGGTCTGGGACCAGGCTAGCTCCTCACATTTCACTGTATGAAACACTTGTGTATCAGAGTTTAGAAACCTGCTCATCGTAAAACGCTACTCCCTTGGGTGGGGTTGCTTTAGCCTTTAAAGGGTAACTCTCAACCCCATTTTCAGCCTTTGCCCAACCCCTTGAAATAAAACAAAATGCATTCAGGTGAGAAATTGTGGGTGGGAGGAATTGCTCATAAATATTCATTTTGGGGGTGGGTACTCGTAGTTGTACCTGATCCCAACACTTTCTCACTAAAGTATACTTCCCAGAATTCCACTAGCAGATACGGCTCTGGAAAGTTAGCTCACATTGGTATGCGCCGAGTTCCTGACATCTATTGCCACTTGCAGTGTAAGTTCGAATCCCTTATGGGGGGGGGGATTTTTTTTATTGTTTTGGGAAGAAAGTGCAATCATCACCTTGTAAATGAAGATTAGGGGCTCAATTCAATCCAACCCACATTGCAGTATTTTACACAGTAGCTCTTTTTTCGAGGTCAAATGAACTCACAGGTTGGTCTTGGGTGCTGTATAAAAACCTACAACTACTACCAGGGCGACCCCTCTCACGGGTATGCTTTCACTTTTCAGAATTAGAAGTGTGTGGGCACGGGATGAATATTGGAAATAAACGATTTGAAAAAAAAATTGAAAAAAGTTATCTGCCCCAGTTGGGATTTGAACTCACAACCATTGCACTATGAGCCAACTGTAGCGGACTGAGCCCACCAATCAGTAATAGTGGTTGGGGGAAAATGAGTTAACATGACCACCATTGTTATCTATTTCTTGTTACGATGGATGTAGCTACGAATATACACGTATGTTCCTTTTTCTTCTTCTTCGTAAACCTCGTTGGTGTGTATGAAACGGTAAGCAGAAATGTTGAATTTGGTCGTGCGTTGATGTGCCTTTACTGCCCTGTCGGATTTTGCAACATCAGCAGTCTAGTCAAGGAAGCATCATGCAAAAATATATTGGCACACTCCACTTACCAAGACCATTGCCAAATAAGGCGCACCGTCACCTGCTTTTATAGTAAACCTTAAGGTGGTACCACGCAGCACATCTAGAAGGGAGTGTATTTCATACCGGAAACCCTCCCTTTGATGACGTAGGGGCGCCTCTTCATCACGATTTCAATGGTAGAGTTGAACCGCTAGGGACAAAGAGCTAAATGTACTATTAAAATACCTAAATATATCACTTTTGCAACAAACTGTCAAAATGAAGACCAAGATTGACAGGTTTCACTATAACTAAACCTAAAACATCTGTTTTTTTGTCTTGAAAGTTAATCTTTAAATACTGTAGGGACTGGTAGAGGGGTTGGACATACTGTAGGGACTGGTAGAGGGGTTGGACATACTGTAGGGACTGGTAGAGGGGTTGGACATACTGTAGGGACTGGTAGAAGGGGTTGGACATACTGTAGGGACTGGTAGAGGGGTTGGACATACTGTAGGGACTGGTAGAGGGGTTGGACATACTGTAGGGACTGGTACAGGGGTTGAAAGTACTGTAGGGACTGGTAGAGGGGTTGGACATACTGTAGGGACTGGTAGAAGGGTTGGACATACTGTAGGGACTGGTAGAGGGGTTGAATGTACTGTAGGGACTGGTAGAGGGGTTGGACATACTGTAGGGACTGGTAGAGGGGTTGGACATACTGTAGGGACTGGTAGAGGGGTTGGACATACTGTAGGGACTGGTAGAGGGGTTGGACATACTGTAGGGACTGGTAGAGGGGTTGGACATACTGTAGGGACTGGTAGAGGGGTTGGACATACTGTAGGGACTGGTAGAGGGGTTGGACATACTGTAGGGACTGGTAGAAGGGTTGGACATACTGTAGGGACTGGTACAGGGGTTGAAAGTACTGTAGGGACTGGTAGAGGGGTTGGACATACTGTAGGGACTGGTAGAGGGGTTGGACATACTGTAGGGACTGGTAGAGGGGTTGGACATACTGTAGGGACTGGTAGAGGGGTTGGACATACTGTAGGGAAAGGAGTCAGAGTGAAAATATGTTATTTGTTCATTCATTTTACAATGTTACTCAGATCCCCTCGTCTGATCTATACCACTAAGAACTCACAACGTTCACCTCGATTTTCCCAAATGAAGTGACTGTATAATCAATCTCTCTCCCCACACACACACTCTCCCTCATACACCCCATTGGACATTATAGATTGGTTTTGGCTGTATATTGCCTGTGGCTGTGTCCCAAATGGCACTCTATGGGTCCTGGTCAAAAGTAGTGCACTTCATAGGGAATAGGGTGTCATTTGGGATGCAGGTTGTCACAGTGTGTGGTGCTTCGATCCCATATTGAGGATGCTGAATGTACTCTAATGGTGGAACCCCCGACCAGAACAGGACCTATGATTCTGTGCGATTATCATTACCCAGGGGTTACTTTATTTCCACAAAGGACCCGAGAGGAAAGCATATCCTATTATAGTGTGCATTTTCGCCTTTAGAGACTTGTTTGCTTTAGAGTTTAAAATGTGTATTTTATCTGATTACCTAGCCTGAGTCCCAGATCTGTTTGTGCTGTAAAGCCAACTCCTATTGACATCATGTCATTTGGAGTTGGCAAAACAGTACAAACAAATCTGGGACTCAGGCTACTGATTACCTACTGTTGAAGGGAGAAGAGTTTGAGATAGCCCTGGCCCAAAGTAGTGCACTATACAGGGATTAGATTGGCCCCTTGGTGTCAAAGTTCAAAGGTCAGGACTCTGAATGAGACTCGAGGCTTTAAGGAATGTTAACCCTAAAATGGCCTTCCTCTGTAGATGGACAACTCTAAGTCATACACTACCGTTCAAAAGTTTGGGGTCACTTGGGGTCAAATGTCCTTGTTTTTTGAAAGAACATAGTTTTTTTTATCCATTAAAATAACATCAAATTGATCAGAAATATAGTGTAGACATTGTTAATGTTGTAAGTGGCTATTGTAGCTGGAAACGGCAGATTTTTTATGGAATATCTATATAGGCGTACAGAGGCCCATTATCAGCAACCATCAGTCCTGTGTTCCAATGGCACGTTGTGTTTGCTAATCCAAGTGTATCATTTTAAAAGGCTAATTGATCATTAGAAAACCCTTTTGCAATTATGTTAGCACAGCTGAAAACTGTTGTGCTGATTAAAGAAGCAATAAAACTGGCCTTCTTAAGACTAGTTGAGTACAGGATCAAAATGGCAAGAAACAAATAGCTTTCTTCTGAAACTCGTCAGTCTATCCTATTCCGTGCGAGAAATTGCCAAGAAACTGAAGATCTCGTACAACGCTGTGTACTACTCCCTTCACAGAACAGCGCAAACTGGCTCTAACCAGAATAGAAAGAGGAGTGCGAGGCCCCGGTGCACAACTGAGCAAGAGGACAAATACATTAGAGTGTCTAGTTTGATAAACAGACGCCTCACAGGTCCTCAACTGGCAGCTTCATTAAATAGTACCTGCAAAACACCAGTCTCAACGTCAACAGTGAAGAGGCGACTCCGGATCGACCCTAGCGAGTTGCAAAGAAAAGCTATATCTCGACTGGCCAATAAATAAATATAAGATGGGCATCTAGATGCTTTCTTTGCAGAATAACTACGAGTTCAGAAAAATTTTGTTTCTGCCATTTGACCTGTACAACACATTGCTGATGCTCCAATACTCATAGTCCAAGAGGCCATTTATTGTCTTATACATCAGCCTGCTACATATTCAAAGGGTTTTCTAATGATCAAGCCTTAAAAAGATAAACTTGGTTACAACACAATGTCCATTGAAACAGACTGACTGATATGGCCTCTGTAGTCTATTAGATATTCCTAAAAAACACCGTTTCCGCTACATACCATTTACAACATTAACAATGTCTACACTGTATTTCTGATCAATTTGATGTTATTTTAATGGACAAAAAAAGTACTTTTTCTTTCGAAAACAAGGACATTTCTAAGTGACCCCAAACTTTTGAACGGTAGTGTATGTTTGTACAGAAGAGAGAGGCTTTGAGTCAAATCCATTTCAACCTGCTCACTGTGTTCTACTAGAGATAAATCCTAATTTAATCTTTGTTTCTTATGCTGGGAAGATGTAGAGCTCTATATGAATGAAACTTCATCTAAGGTTGCATCCCAAATAGCAACCTATTCCCTGTATAATACACTAGTTTTGACCTGGGCCCATTGGGTTCTGGTCAAAAGTAGTGCACTATGTAGGGAATATGGTGCCATTTGTGACGCAACGTGAATAATCATTGTGAACAGCTAATGTAAGAAGGTATTAGAGTTATGGACTGTCACTGTACTGAACTGTGCTCCTGTCCGTCATCATAGTAATTAGAAAGGTCTATTTATCCTGACTGTGAGGACTGCATCTTCCTCATGAGTGTTGCTCCAGGCTAGATAGTAAATCACATCAGATCAGATCAGTGGCATCTATCAGAGTCATATATATATATAGAAATGGCTCTGCCTCACACATCCTTCCTGCTACATCAGACCACCACACACACATCTATAAATCTATTTTTATTACATCAAGGTTGTCAAAACACAGGAAAGCAAATCTCTCTCTCTGCCCTCCACCGCTCCACTGCTCCATCCTCACCCCCTCACCCACACTCTACCCCTCACCCACACTCTACCCCCTCACCCATCCTCTCCCCCCTCGCTCCCTCATCTTTCTGTCCAAGGCAGCATTGAGTCCCTTCATGTACATTTCTCTGTGAAGCAGCAGCAACGTCTCCAAGTCCTCCATTCAAACTCCCAAACGAGGCCACACACCTCTCTGTCTCTCTCGTTGTTGTAATGTAACAAAAAGTTAGGCCTCAGTTGAAGCCTCAGACCGTAGTGACTCTCATGACCAGCTCCCGGCTGCTGTTGCTGGGCTGCGGAGGCTGGGGCTGGACCTGAGTGGCGCGGGGCTCCTGCTGCGTCGTCCAGAGGTGCTGGGTGAGCAGGTGGAGGATGTTGTACGCACAGTGGTGGTCCGGCAGGGATGGTGGCCCCCCGTGGCTCTGCTCCGACATTGAGTCCCGCGTCGTCACCGTCGTCAGGCTGGCGGTTGTGGTCGCGGTATAGCCCGGCGCGGAGGCAGCCACTGCGGCCATGAGGGAGGAGGTGGAGGGGGAAGCCATGTCATCCCCCGGCCCTGACCCGGGAGGAGCACTCGTCCTGGGGTTGGGCAGGGCCAGGTGTCTGGGCGTGAGCCTGGATTTCTGGTGGTCCTCAGTGTCTTTGATCTTGTCGTAGTTGAGCACCTTCCACTGCTGGTTCACAGCCTGCCAGCGGTTAAAGATCCTGAACACTGAGGGTCCTTCATGGACGATCAGCGCTAGAGAGAGAGAGACAGAGAGAGACAGAGAGAAGAGGGGGAGGTTGTCAGTTACACATGAATACATCCCAAATCCAACATGAGTTGGTAGCGTTCATAAATCACAGAGGGAGTCCTCCAGAGCTCTGTCTGTGGAGTCATATATGTCCCTCCTCAAGTGTCCTGATTGGAGAAGGAATGAATGAGGGAGAGGAGGAGGAGGAGGGAATGAATGAGGGAGAGGAGGAGAAGAGAAAGAGGCGAGGAAGAGAGGAGGAGGGCGGTGTATTCCATAGGGGACTACGTTGCTTTAACGCGTTATCCCCTGGGTTGGGCATCTTTTCCCCCAATAAATCAATCAAGGAAGGAAGGAAGGAGGACAGGGAAGAAGAAGAAGAAGAAGAGACGTTCCTCTGTGTGCCGGCCTCACCGATGCAGACGAGGTCCATGAATCCGTACATGGCGTAGCAGATCTGGAAGAGCAGGTCCTGGCGCTGCCACTTGGCCGAGGGACTGAGGGAGGACCACACCAGCCAGGAGATAGAGGCCATGAGGAACAGGGTGCCCAACACGGCCGCAGCTATCTGGACCTTCTCTATCACTGTCAGAGAGATGGCCTGCCACTGGGATGGAGAGAGACAGGGGGGGAGGGGGAGAGCGAGAGGGAGGGGGAGGGAGAGAGATAGAGAGGGGGTAGAGAGAGAGGGGGGAGAGAGAGCAAGAGAAGGGGAGAGAAAGAGAGAGAGTGAAAAGGAGGAAGAGAGACTACATCATCATCACCACATACTATTCATACACACTATACACTGGTATTAACCCTATCTCTCTGCAGTGCTGTGTGACATGCACCCAATTAGAGCTCTCCTCTTCATCCCCTAAAACCCTGCCCCGACTCAAGTCTAAGAGACGGTGAGTCACACACACACACACACACCGTACCTGTAGTGGGTTGTTGGTGCTGATGGCGATGACGTGGTACTTGTAGTAGCAGAGCTCACAGCTCCAGGAGCCTCTCTCACTGATCCACTTGATGAGGCAGGGCTCATGGGTACAGCGGACCGACCCACTGCAGCGACACGGGCTCAGCAGCTCCCCCTTTGGGATACAAAGGAAAACGCTGCTATCGGTTTGTATTACAGTGAGCCAGCTGAGTTTTGGCCATGGTGCTGAACAATTATTTATATATACACTGGATGACTGATAGGGGGCGCTGTGTTGACGCCACCGCGCCTCCATCTTGGCACTCCTACACCATTGTAAAAAATATTTTGGAAGCTATAGAAATGCATTTATTAATGTCTACATTCGTTTTTGCCACGTTTATCCTATTACAAATACCTTAATGCATACTTTTAACTGATATTATGTGAGCTAAACATAAAAATAAAAAATTGAAAAATATATAAAAATATTATCCTTAAAGTATATATTTTTTTTATTACTAATGTTACTGTCCCCAATATAACAAAAAATACTTAAATACATGCAATTTTGTCCTTCAAACATTTAATTGAAAAACTGTACAATTCAATGTATTCCTTTGGAGGACTGCTCCTACTGGGGAGTGCCAATATGGCCGACCAGTGGCTTCAAAGCCTCTCATTGGCCAATACATAGCATCAGTAATCCAGGGTTGCAATCCAGGGTTTATATACATTGGTGACACAGGGCTAATCTGGCACCCTATTCCCTATATAGTGCATCACCTTTAGCCAGAGCAGTAGTAGTGCAGTTAATAGGGAGCCATTTTGGACAAAGCCACGTTCTGTCTCCATTTCCTATGGACCCACAGCTTTGGAGAACGGTAGATGTAAAGCCTTGTCTCTAGAGTTACCAGTAAACGTGCCCTTCAGTTCTGCACCTACATATCCTCACTGACTCTGTAACTGTATCTATCAGAGTGTGGATCCTCCAGACAGACAGACAGGGCTGTGGTTTCTGGTTTCTTACCTCCCAAAGCTCATGTAATCTGTTTGAACAGAGACCTCAGAGATTAATCCTTACCGCTCTTATCCTGTTATGTGTGAAAGTTTGTGTGTGGTGTGTGTGTGTGTAGTGCGTGCGTCTGTGTGTGTGTGTGGTGTGTTGTGTGTGTGTGTGTTGTGTGTGTGTGTGTAGTGTATGTGTGTGTTGTGTGGTGTGTTATGGTGTGTGTGTTGTTTGTGTGTGTGTGTGTGTGTGCTCTGTGTGTGTCTTCTCCGTCCTCAGTGGCGTTCTACCAGTGAACCTGTCCTTTTCTTAAGTCCTCTCAGAGCGATATGCGAGAGAGAGAGAGATTTATCACCAAGGACAGCTCAGAGAGAGAAAGTGAGGTGACCTTAGTGTTGAACAAATGCTCATTAAAAAGCTACCATTTACCAATACATAATTGTAATTTCATTCTGGTTCCAGACATCTCACAATTCTACACATGGTTATCCATAGCATGCACAAATCCTCGCCTGGTTGGTTTCTGGTACAGATGAGTTCCTTTTTGCCAGGACATTCTCTAATAACCATGGTGTGTGGTGTGTGTGTGTTGGTGTGTGTGTGTGTGTGTGTGTGGTGTGTGTGTGGTGTGTGTTGTGTGGTGTGTTTGTGTGTGCATGTTGTGTGTGTGTGTTTGTGTGTGTGCTGTGTGTGTGTTGTGTGTCGTGTGTGTGTGTGGTGTTGTGTGTGTTGTGTTGTGTGTGTGTGTGTGGCGTGCGGGCGCGCGCGCGCGCTCGAGGCGAGCGCGCGCGCGGGCGCGCGCGCGCGCGGCCGCGCGCGAGCGCGCGCGCGCGCGCGGAGGGGCGCGCTTCTCTCTCCTCTCGCGCTCTGCTCTCGCCGCGTCGCGCCGCTGCGCTCCGCGTGCGCGCGACGCTCGCGCCTCGCGTCGCGCTCGCTCTCCGCTCTCGCGTCTCGCGCTCTCTCTCTCGTCTCGCGCGCGCTCTCGTCTCTCTCTCGTCTCTTCGCGATCTCTACTCTCGCGCCGAAGAGATCAGACTCTACGCATGACAGACAGAACATGACAGACAGACAGACAGACAACAGACAGACAGACAGACAGATACAGACAGACAATACAGACATACAGACAACAAGACAGAAAACAGACAGACAGACAGACGACAGAACAAGCAGACAAACGACAGACCAGACAGACAGACAGAGAGACAAAGAGACAGAGAGATTAGAGAGAGAAGAGAGAGAGATCTCTCTCTCTCTCGATTCCTCCTCGCCCCTCCCTCCCCCACTCCCTTTCGTAGAAAAGCTTATTCTACTTTCCCTAAGGCACAAGTGGTTATCCCAACCCTGTTACCACGAAAAGACTTCCACCCTGCTACCATACGCGGGTAAATGCAAGTATTTCCCGTGACTGTGCATCAAAACCAAATGTCTACCTGGCCCACCACTCCACCCTGGACGTGAACAGCCTTTACGACCAGGTCCACCTATACAAGGCAGCAGTGCCCACCTTCGCCCGGACCCTAAAGGATATCGCCCTCAACCGCAGACCCAACACCTCACACAGGAGCAACAGATCAACAGACACCCCGCCCAGACCAGCGAGACACTCTCCCAGACCTGCGGGACCCCCCCCCCCCCCCAGGACCTACACATAGAGGACCCCCCGCAGAGAGGACCTACATCCAGACCACAGCACCATCAGACACATCTACACCCCGACCCCCACCAATTAACTCCCCCCCAAGTCAACCATGCCCACACCCCATTTAGGCCCCCTCAGATCAGACCTATGTGCTACCTATATCCCCCCACTAGAATCCCCATACTTTAATGAAGACAGCTTCTCCATCCTGGAGGAGGAAATCAATCATTTCCAGACCCAGGGACATGTACTAGTCTGTGGCGACCTAAATGCCAGAACTGGACAAGAACCTGACACCCTCAGCACACAGGGGGACAAACACCTACCTGGAGGTGGCAGCATTCCCTCCCCCATATGCCCCCCTAGGCACAACTACTACAACATAACCAACAAAAACAGGTCACGACTCCTGCAGCTCTGTCGCACACTGGGTTGGGTATGTACATAGTCAATGGTAGGCTTCGAGGGGACTCCTATGGTAGGTACACCTATAGCTCATCTCTTGGCAGTAGTACTGTAGACTACTTTATCACTGACCTCAACCCAGAGCCTCTCAGAGCGTTCACAGTCAGCCCACTGACACCCCTATCAGACCACAGCAAAATCACAGTCTACTTGATCAGAGCAATACTCAATCATGAGGCATCAAAGCCAAAGGAACTGAATAATATTAGGAAATGCTACAGATGGAAGGAAAGTAGTGTTGAAACCTATCAAAAAACAATTAGGCAACAACAAATTCAATCCATTCTAGACAACTTCCTGGACAAAACGTTCCACTGTAATAGTGAAGGTGTAAACTTGGCAGTAGAAAACCTAAACAGTATATTTGACCTCTCAGCTTCCCTATCACATCTAAAAATCTCTAACAGAAAACCAAAGAAAAGTAACAACAGTGATAAATGGTTTGATGAAGAATGCAAAAACCTAAGAAAGAAATTGAGAAACCTATCCAACCAAAAACATAGAGACCCAGATAACCTGAGCCTACGCCTTCACTATGGTGAATCACTAAAACACTACAGAAATACACTACGGAAAAAGAAGGAACAGCATGTCAGAAATCAGCTCAATGTAATTGAAGAATCCATGGACTCTAACCACTTCTGGGAAAATTGGAAAACACTAAACAAACAACAACACGAAGAGCTATCTATCCAAAACGGAGATGTATGGGTAAACCACTTCTCCAATCTTTTTGGCCCTATAACAGAGAACAAACAGCAAAAAAATATACATGATAAAATGCAAATCTTAGAATCAACTATTAAAGACTACCAGAACCCACTGGATTCTCCAATTACATTGAATGAACTACAGGACAAAATACAAACCCTCCAACCCAAAAAGGCCTGTGGTGTTGATGGTATCCTCAATGAAATGATAAAATATACAGACCACAAATTTCAATTAGCTATACTTAAACTCTTTAACATCATCCTTAGCTCTGGCATCTTCCCCAATATTTGGAACCAAGGACTGATCACCCCAATCCACAAAAGTGGAGACAAATTTGACCCCAATAACTACCGTGGGATATGCGTCAACAGCAACCTTGGGAAAATCCTCTGCATTATCATTAACAGCAGACTAGTTCATTTCCTCAGTGAAAACAATGTACTGAGCAAATGTCAAATTGGCTTTTTACCAAATTACCGTACGACAGACCACGTATTCACCCTGCACACCCTAATTGACAAACAAACAAACCAAAACAAAGGCAGAGTCTTCTCATGCTTTGTTGATTTCAAAAAAGCTTTTGACTCAATTTGACTTGAGGGTCTGCTATACAAATTGATGGAAAGTGGGGTTGGGGGAAAAACATAGGACATTATAAAATCCATGTACACAAACAACAAGTGTGCGGTTAAAATTGGCAAAAAACACACACATTTCTTTCCACAGGGCCGTGGGGTGAGACAGGGATGCAGTTTAAAGCCCCACCCTCTTCAACATATATATCAACGAATTGGCGAGGGCACTAGAACAGTCTGCAGCACCCCGGCCTCACCCTACTAGAATCTGAAGTCAAATGTCTACTGTTTGCTGATGATCTGGTGCTTCTGTCACCAACCAAGGAGGGCCTACAGCATCACCTAGATCTTCTGCACAGATTCTGTCAGACCTGGGCCCTGACAGTAAATCTCAGTAAGACAAAAATAATGGTGTTCCAAAAAAGGTCCAGTTGCCAGGACCACAAATACAAATTCCATCTAGACACCGTTGCCCTGGAGCACACAAAAAACGATACATACCTCGGCCTAAACATCAGCGCCACAGGTAACTTCCACAAAGCTGTGAACGATCTGAGAGACAAGGCAAGAAGGGCCTTCTATGCCATCAAAAGGAACATACAATTTGACATACCAATTAGGATCTGGCTAAAAATACTTGAATCAGTTATAGAACCCATTGCCCTTTATGGTTGTGAGGTCTGGGGTCCGCTCACCAACCAAGAATTCACAAAATGGGACAAACACCAAATTGAGACTCTGCATGCAGAATTCTGCAAAAACATCCTCCGTGTACAACGTAAAACACCAAATAATGCATGCAGAGCAGAATTAGGCCAATACCCGCTAATTATCAAAATCCAGAAAAGAGACGTTAAATTCTATAACCACTTAAAAGGAAGCGATTCCCAAACCTTCCATAACAAAGCCATCACCTACAGAGAGATGAACTTGGAGAAGAGTCCCCTAAGTAAGCTGGTCCTGGGGCTCTGTTCACAAACACAAACAGACCCCACAGAGCCCCAGGACAACAACAACAACAACACAATTAGACCCAACCAAATCATGAGAAAACAAAAAAAGAATTACTTGACACTTTGGAAAGAACAAACAAAAAACAGAGCAAACTAGAATGCTATTTGGCCCTAAACAGAGAGTACACAGTGGCAGAATACCTGACCACTGTGACTGACCCAAACTTAAGGAAAGCTTTGACTATGTACAGACTCCGTGAGCATAGCCTTGCTATTGAGAAAGGCCGCCGTAGGCAGACCTGGCTCTCAAGAGAAGACAGGCTATGTGCACACTGCCCACAAAATGAGGTGGAGACACGTATTTCCCTCAGATTACAGCGATCCACAAAGAATTCGAAAACAAACCCAATAATGATAAACTACCTTATCTACTGGGTGAAAAACCACAGTGTGCCATCACAGCTGCAATATTTGTGACCTGTTGCCACAAGAAAAGGGCAACCAGTGAAGAACAAACACCATTGTAAATACAACCCATATTTATGTTTATTTATTTTCCCATTTGTACTTGTTTCCTATTTGCACATTGTTACAACACTGTATATATACATAATATGACATTTGAAATGTCTTTATTCTCTTGTTTTAATTCTTCGGTTGTTAACACAAACATCCAGAATAGAATCCAATTGATTTATTGTCCTCAGAGATGGACATTATTTTTCACAGAGAGCACTATTCTAAACCCAACTATTCTAAACCCAAACATCTATAATGACATCTCTCCTGTTCCTTTCTTCAGAGAAAGACAGGCAATTATCTAGACTAAATGACCACACTATCTATGTAATACAAACAGGTGTATACTGCACAATAAAGACATATGAAAGGCTGGCAGATAAATGCATGTGTACCCAGTGCAGCCTGCTGTCTGGTAGTTAGGCTACAACAACATGAGTTGAGAGAGAATGAATAGGGGTCCTTTCAGATTGACAGACAGCATCAGGTAGCATTAACAACACTGGTTCTCCTGAATGTATTTTATTGTCTCCCTCTGCTCCCAGACTGAGCCAAAGCTTTAATGCAGACTCTCTTTATACTGAGGATGCACCTCAAATGGCACCCTATTCCCTATGGGCCACCTTATGGGCCCTGGTCAAAAGTAGTGCACTAGATAGGGAATAGGGTGCCATTTGTGACACAACCTAATTTATCTACAGAACCAAAAAGCTTTCAGCAGCCTGCCAGCCAGAGACTGGCTGACTGTGACTACCACTCCAGGCAGTGGTATTATATAATGTGATGTCATTTGGAGGAGAGAGAGAGAGAGAGATGCTCTCTAGTGTTCTCCAAGGGGCATCATCAGACACTAGACTAGTGACTCCCTAAATGTCAACACAGGGACAGGCCATGAGGCGTTTGTCTTCACAACTTAAAGAGACGGGGGGTGAAGATGGGGCAAATTCAGGGGTCTTTCACTTTTTCTTACCCAGGGACCCCCACCCAGGCAAACTGGTGACCCAGGGACCCCCACCCAGGCAAACCGGTGACCCAGGGACCCCCACCCAGGCAAACCGGTGACCCAGGGGCCCCCACCCAGACAAACTGGTGACCCAGGGACCCCCGCCCAGGCAAACCGGTGACCCAGGGACCCCTGCCCAGGCAAAAGGCAAACCCAGGATCCCCATCATATGTTAGCAAAAAAAAAAATTGTTTCACGTCTTGTCTTATCATCAGGTGAATGACAAGGATAAGTCATCAACATTTCTAAATAAATAGATTTAGTAGATTGTTATATTTTATTTTGACCTCCCCACATTATAATTAGAAGAAGAAGTGTAAACTCTAACATAGCCTATTAGATAGAAAGGTAACTCCAAACACATGTTCGCTAATAGCAGCTGTTCAGCTGGTTAAACAAGGTTAGCCATGTGTTGGCGGAAATTAATTAAGTCAAGAAAGCTTACCAGCAGCGAGCAGCACTCACGGGTGCTTTTTCAAAGCTTATGGCCGTGTTCCTCTGCCCAGGCGTTGCTGACGCCTGCCAGATCTTACAATGCCTGGATAGGTATTTTACTTATCAGCTAATCACATCATATGTTATAGCAATCTGGTGCCCTACAGCACAGTCGATGACGTGGCACGCAACCATTGGATGATGCATGCAAAGTCTGAGCAGGGGAACGCGCCCATTGTCATATACTCCAGTGAGTTTAATTTGCTCAATATTAGGAGTTGAGGAATAAAGTTGACATCATTAGAAAGAAGATATTATCCTATTTTCTACTGAATGTATGTAATTTAAAATGTGTTTATTCTGTTGTTGTTAGTGATATTCATAAAAACTATTCAATAGAAAAAAAAGAAAAAAAATATGTTTTATTTTTTTATACATATCTAATTTTGTGGACCCCTTGCAGTACCACAGACCCTGGGTTGAATACCCCTGGGCTAGTTGACGCACAGGACTAGGTCACAAATTAAACACACACACACACAGTGCATGCCATGTACAGTAGGACACATGTACAAATTGACTGCATTACTTCCTGAATTGACTGCATTGAAATAGCATTGACCGCAACCCCATTGACTTCCCTTAGAGGTGAGTGGATCAGGATGGGAAAAGGTATGTGCAGCGCACATTCACCACAGCCCAAGGATGAAGCCTATGTTGGCCCTGATGCACCAGCACCTATTCAAACATCAATCCACCTTCACACTGAGCTGTCTACGTGGGCCGGTGACTTTGTAAATGGGAGTCCTTCTGAGTCAGGTAATCCAAGACCATGTGGCCGTAACTACACTCCCTGGCTGAATCTCAACAGTCTAAAGTGGTGTCCCCTTCCTTCTCCTCTCCTTGTCTCCCATTCTCCATCTAATGATGTATAGGAGATTTTAGGAGAGGAAGTCACTTTAGACTATTGAGATGCACCCTGTGTTACCTGAGTCCACTACTTCCCCTGGTCTTTCTGTAGAGTTCTCCTCTCTGTCATGTTCTGTTCCTATCTCCTCTGTCTAAGACAGGGCTTGCTCTGTGAAATGTAGTACTCCTACGTTTACATGGCCATCGGAAGTGAGTAAGTGAGAAAATCATTATTTATGTTCTCAAGCATATAATTGCTCCTGCGTGCTTGGGATCCACAACATGCACAGCGGAGAGAGAGAGAGAGAGAGCTGGCGATGGCGCTTGCAACGCCAGGGTTGTGGGTTCGATTCCCATGGGGGGCCAGTATGAAAAAAATGTATGTACTCACTAACTGTAAGTCGCTCTGGATAAGAGCGTCTGCTAAATGACGTAAATGTCTGACTATAGGTCTACCTATATGTATATTGTCTACCTGTAAGGCCACTCACCTGTTCTGGACCTTGGAAACATATCCTGCACTGGGGAGTCCTAACACCACTGTCTGTGCGACTGTTCAGGGAGAATCTCTCCTCACACTTCTCTTTGGAGCAGTCCTCCTCAGAGCTGCCATAGTCCAGGGGTCCAGTCTGTCCCGTAGCATGCCGCCATTCCTCTGTTGCTTTAGGCTCGTTTGTCCCGGCAGAATGAGGCTCTCCTGTCGGCGGGGCAGGGGCAGCAGAACCATCCGCCTCTGGTGGAGGTGCACTCGCTGCAGAGTTGCTGTTGTCGGCGGCAACATCATTGCCTGTGCCGGACCCATTGCTGTCCGTGTATTGTCCGTTCATGGAGATGATCGCCGGTGGCGGAGCCGGGACCGGCGGTCTGAGTAAGAAAACCTTCAGGTCACTGAACAAAACGCAACAGCGGCCTTTGGGCATGCCCTGGCGGCGGAGCAGCATCGGTCTCCGGCTCAACAATCCCCAGCACCATACAACCACCCCGAGAGACAACAACATGTGCCCGTCTGTTTCTATAGGAGGATACAGGTGTACATTTTTATTCATAAATGTGCAGAGCACATGAAGAGAAAAGGAAAAGCTTACTGTTATTTCGTTGAGGATGATCCGAAAGAGGAGTCTCCTCTGTTGTGTCTTTTCCAGTTTGGTTGAATGGCATTCTTTCTCCAACAGCTATTCCCTCAACAGCTATTTTCAATTTAGTTCCAAATTCTAAAATCGAATCAGCCTGAATAAATCGAATGAGTTGGTGTACGCGCACCACCACACATCCTTTTCACCCTTGTCAGATACCCTATCGTGCACTAGCCCTTGACGCTTGCCTGTAAATAAGTCATTGCTCAGGCTAAAGGAAAACCCTGACTATATACCAAACATATAGACTCACATGTCTCATATACCTCAGAGAAAATGGGCAGGAACCTAGCTGAGCATCCTCCCGTTGCATTCCAATGGCAGCACACCAGGGGCAATGGCATCACAAACCGAATCATACGAACAAGACTATACTATTGAGATATTTTCATTCTTGTCTAGCCCACTCTCCCGTTGCCTATTATCGATCCTGTGTTGTAGCCTATCATGTTCCATTAATCCAACAGCTTTGTTTCTTGCGGGCCTTCTACCAACAATGTCCCATTACATGTTGTAATAACAGTCACTATGTGGACAGTGGTCCTTGATATAACCGTCCCCCCCAGTTTACGTTCGTCGCCTGTCAATTCCACGGTCTGTCTGAGAAGGTGAGGCTATTCCCACAACAAAAGCCTACAATATCATTTAGGGATGTCACGAACATGCCCTGGGCTTCACTTCCACAGAGCCTAGGCTCCTACCGTCATTTTTTCTCACACGGAGCATCCTCTTTACAAGCGGGTAACCCTCATATTTTAACAACATAACAGTGCTTGAATTCACCCCAAAACGGTTGTTGTCATGCCTTTGGTCGACAGGAGCAGCGAAGCCGGAGAGTGGTGGTTGATGTGTTCGTTGTCTCTGGGCTTTTGAAATCCGTTCGACTCGATGGTTCTCTTCTCGCCGTAGGTTTAGCACCATTATGGATGGGACAGCTCCCAGGCGCGGGCCCGTCTGGAACACCAGCGTGATGCAAGAAAGGGAGCGAGCATGGGCTAGCTCGTCTCATCTCGGATAGCAACAAGATAACATTTGGGATGAATGAGATGAAACAATTGATTATGCAAGAATCTTAAACAGATATAGTATTTGGCAAAAACATAATCATTTCAAACCTGGATTACATTGGGATACGATAACACATGCCTCTATTTACGCGTGGGAATACATGGGAACAGATTTCCTCAATTAAAAAATAAATAACTTTGATTTCCTGGTGATTTACAGTCTTTCATGTCAAACAACGAAAACGATATATATATATATATATATATATATATAAATATAGTCTATTAGGGAACGTAAGCTGTTCACATTTGGCAAACAATTTGCTTCAATTCAAAACATTTCTTTACATATAGGTCTAAATTGGATGTGCGTTATGATACCATATGGGCTGTGGCTGTTGAATAATGCTTAGTGGACTATCCCCTATATACACTAGGTATTTATATATTCTGGTCTGCCTAGTGTGCTTAGTGCCACACTACAGCCTTCCCTGAACCCGCTGAACCCTGGCAGTAAGCTACACACACACCCATACACCAAGGTAGTGGTTCGATCCACCACCACCCATCACACACAAAAAATGAACACATGCACGAATCCAGATACACACAGACCCTGTAATCGCTTTGCACACACCATAAAAGACCACAACCCGTCTGCTAATGGCAAATATTATTATTATTAACACTTAGTACCACACACCATACACACACATCCATAAACACCACCTGACCCCCTCCAGATAACCATACACACACCACATCCAGATACAAATAGAGTATGCTGAATTCTCTCCATCTCCTCTCTCTTTAACATACGTCTGAAGAGACAAGTGAGCCAGTCTGACCGAGCGCAGCCCAAATCGCACCCTATTCCCTACATAGTGCACTACTTTTGACCAGAGCCCTATGAGCTATATAAGGAAAAGGGTGCCATTTGGGATGCAATCGGAGGAGTGGCCCACTCGCTGCTGCAGTTTCCCCCGGGCCCAGGGAAATCTGTCACACTGTTATAGGACTTCCCACCACCACTAACATTATGACATTTTGATAACTAACCCAAAACAGTTAAAATATTCAGAAACTCTCCTATCGACCGTGTCTATCATCTCTCTTATTCTCTCTCTCTCTCTCTCTAATATATATCTATATAGTTTATCTCTCTCTCTATATATCTCTCTCTCTCGCTCTCTCTCTCTCTCTCTCTCTCTCTCTTCTCTCTCTTTCTCTCTCCCCCCCTCTCTCTCTCGCTCTCGACTATGCAGAGCGATTATGATTCTCTATCAATACTGTATGTTTGACACTGCTTGCAATGGCCAGTGAGGTGTGAGGGTCATGGCCTTCATCGTTAATGCTATCTGTCATGTGACATATAGTCATTCTTACATCACACCACTTGACCTCAGGGTGTAGGCTACTGTCAGTGTGATGTCCTGCTCTGTGATGGAATATGAGTGTCCCTCACCTACTGATATGTAGCCTATCAGTATCTCTATCTCTCTCTCTGATATAAATAAATATGCCATTTAGCAGACGCTTTTATCCAAAGCGACTTACAGTCGTGCGTGCATAATATTTTTTTTTTTGTTGTGTGTATGGGTGGTTCCGGGGATCGAACCCACTACCTTGGCGTTACAAGCGCCGTGCTCTACCAGCTGAGCTACAGAGGACCTGATGATAAAAACAAGGACTTTTAAAGGGGAAATCTGTGATTGGTACATACATTTTACATTTGAGTCATTTAGCAGATGCTCTTATCCAGAGCGACTTACAGTTAGTGCATACATCTTTCATACTGCCCCCCCCCCGTGATTCTTGAAGAATATATATTTGAATTGAGCTTAGTCCAACTGCCGTACCCCATCGGAAGCCAAAATATAAGCTTGTTTTACTCCATTGTTTGTAAACAATGTAATTGTAATGAATGTCAGACTAACGTGTCATCTCACTTTCTCTCTCTGAGCTGTCTGTGGTGCTGAATGCTGAATCTCTCTCTCTCCCCCACTGATGCGTGGTTGATGTGTATATTTCCGAGGATGCTGTGGTACAATTGGGGCTTTAGAGAAAGAAACACATCACATCACATTCTCCAGGAAAGTTCTCTTAAAAAGGGGATTATCCCATATTTCCTACATATCCCCTGCTAAATCACACACACACACACACACACAACACACCACACAACCACCACACACCACACACACACCACACACACACACCAACACAACACACACACACACACACACCACACACACACACACACACACACACACACACACACTGTACATCCTCTCAGTAAAGCTTACACTGTTAGAGGGACTGCTGTTTTCCGGCTGATGTCTTGTTTTACAGTGGGGCTTAAGCCTAGAAAAGTGACAGGCTGGCAGGCACAATATCCTGGATGACCCAGACCATACTGTACTGTACTGTACTTAGAGGCCTATGGGAAGGAAATTGATGCAGTAAGTACCGTAGCATTTTGACTGTGTGTGTGTGTGTGTGTGTGTGTGTGCATGAATGTGTGCCCATGCGTGTGTGTGGTGTGTGGTGTGTGTGTGTGTGCTGTGTGTGCCTGCATCTGTGCGTGTGTGCACACAGCACCCGTCTGTATGTCCCCTACATAAGCCTCTCTCCGTGCTGGGAACTAGGAGATGAATCAGGCCCCTGAGGAATTCCATCTCTGCCAATTAGTGTTGCTGGTATCACAGCGTCTAGCATGAAACACTAGCTTGCAGCCAGGGCCTAATGACCAGGGTTGGTTGAAGAAGAGCACATGAATGATACAGTGATCAGGCCTCTTTACTTGTGAAAAGCATTATAATTGTTTAAGCAGCAACCATAATTACAGTACCAAGTGTTCCTGTATTCCTTTACCTTGAGGCAACTGAATATGAGCTTAGGCTAAAGCAATAAAATATTGGATAACTTTTCAGATAGTCTTTTTGAAAAACAATTTAACTTGCTCTCCCCTACATATCTACCACAAGCCTGTAGGCCTACCATCTCTAATTTCCTCATGCATATTTAAAAGTAACTCAAAGAATAGTTATAAAGTAGGCTAGCTAACATTAGCCTACAGGAAAAAGATACATGCCTTCTACATAGAATTCCTAGGCACTTGGCTTGCAACAATGTAATGTAACACATGGCAAACGTTGATGATGATGTTACCATGGTTACCAAGAATTTCCGACGTGACCACTGATCCTCCCGTTCAAATAAAAGCCAAATAGTTTGCCAACGTCCTACTAACATTTTTGGTAAGTTGAAGTAACGCTCTCATTAAGGAATTTTATGATAATGAAAGTTCACTAAGTTAACACACTTCGTCATGGCTCAATTATTTCAACTTGACAGTAGTAGGTAACGAGCTAGCTAAAGCTAGCTGGCTAGTAGCTGGGGTCATCCTTGTCCAGTTTGTTCATTAGCATCTGACAGTGTCACTTGACTGCGTTATGATGGAAGCTGTTATTCGTTTTCTGGATGGAAATGATAAAGAAACACTGTTCATTCAAAGATTACATGTCTATGCAACTATATCTTCTTATTATTTGTGAATGAGTACAGATGCAACTATATCTTCTTATTATTTGTGATTGAGTACAGATAAAGTGGATCTGAAATGGACATCAATGATGTAGCAGTGCAGAATCTTCACATAGCATAGAAGAACTGTGTTCTTCTCTATCAGACTAATAGCTGCTGATCAAGAGGTAAGTGTAATTTATGTTTTACAGAATGGTATCTTCCACATTGCTATGGTTATTAGAGAATTGACATTGACCTCAATGACCGTACAGGTGAATGAAGACACTGGAGCCAGAGCCAAGATGGCAGCCATGGCAAGAAACATCTCCAAGGACTGGTCCTACCTCTATGAGAGGCTCTTTTCCAAGCTGTCCGATGAGGGCTTCCACGACATGTGGAGCATTGGTGGCTTTCTCGTAGTCTTCATCTTCTGCACCATCGTCATCACCCTGACTCTGGCTGTCATATTCAGCTGGTGCTGTGGATGGTG